GAACCGGGATGCGTGAGATGTAGGCTGTCCAGTACCGTTTGCTTGAGATCCGTTGGCAGGACTATGCGGTCGTCGACTAAAAGGCAGTCGTCTTTAAGATGCAGTCGATTTCGTATGTTGTACCAGTATCCGCCAAACGACAGTTTCAGTGCGTCCCAGTGTCGTTTTTGTACGAAGTTGACAAGCGGTCTTAAATTCTTGTCCTTTCGGGTTGCCGCTGCGATGAATTTAACCCATAATATTTTTTTGGAGTTTTCTTCTATAGAGTGGTGTATCCTTTTCCTCTGTGTTGGTCTCCCTGTCAATTGTGGCGACAATTTCGTTCACGATGAGATTGTGGCTAGCCTCAGATTGAGTTGTTGCTATAGTGGGAGGTTTGGTATTTGGTTGGAGTTCTTCTTGTATTCTGACGTCAGGGTCCACGCGGCTTACGCAGTTTTCGTATGTTTCCTTTGTTTCGATTGAAAGATCCGTTTGGATGATTGCGTGGCAGTTGTTAAAGTTACTTTCATTGTTGGCGGCGTTTTCCATCTAGATCCCTCTGTTGAGTCGGTGAACACTATTTTTGGGAAGGTTGCTGGTTTTCGTTTTATGTTCTGTCTTGCGTCCTTGATGGCGTCTGGTTTTTGTTTCACGTCTGATTGTTTTTTGTTTGGTGGTCTTCTATGCCAACGCGGATCAGATAGGCTCTCCTCTCTGTCTGATTCTCCTTGCCATTGGTTTTTGTTCGTGTGTTCTCCTGTTGAGCTTCGTTTTTATTTCTGTTTTTTGGGTTTGAATCCTCCCGTAAGCTCTTTCATATTTTGTTTTCTCATTTTTCTGACCGTCTTTCGTTGAGTTGATTTTGGCGTTTTAGATCGTGAGCTTTTTGATTTTTTGTCGTTAACTGAATTTAAGAATGAGTTGTGAGCGAATAATTTGGTTTTTGCTTTGGATCAGGTTTGAGTGTTTGACCGCTTATGTAAAGAATGCTATGATTGGAATGCGGTTGAATTATTGGTTGGCTTAATTTTGTCCCTGATTTTCCGCGCCGTTTTCGATCAGCCGATAGGGCGCTAGTTTCCTATTGGCTAATCCGTTTAAAATTAAGTTGAGAAATCATTTCAAGATTTTTAACGAATGAGTTGATTGACGCCACATCGTATGCGCGGGAGGGTATTGCAACTCCAACCGTATTTCAGGATATACAGTCGATTAATCCCATTTTGCTCCCTGCCAAATGTTTGATATCGAAGTTAAAAAGGATTAATCGATCGATCCATCTTGTGAGCCTGTTTTGACTTGTCTTGGATCTTTCACTGGCGTTTAAAGCACTGATCAAAGCTTGATTGTCGGTAATTACCGTACAATTTTTCCGTAAAGATAATATTTGAAGTGCTCAATTGCTCACACGACCCTCAGGAGTTCTAACTTGTTCACTAAATATTTTTCTTCTAACAAACTTAGGAATCTTGATGCGTACGCAATAGCTACCCACCCCTCGTTTGGGTTTTGTTTTAGGGCCGCGTCGAGTCTGTTTGTAGATGCATCGCAAACTACTCGTGTGTCGAGATTTTGGTCAAAATGTTTGTTTTGTGTAATTTCTGTGACTAACTTTTTACTTTTATGAAATGCGGAATCCTGCTCCGTCGACAAATTAAGGGTTTTGTGTTTGTCTTTATTCTCAAGAAGGAGACGGAGTGCTGCCGCAATTTTTGTCAAATGTGGGATGTACCTTGTAAGATGATGTATTGATCCCATGAAACTTTCAAGTTGTATAAACGTTTTAGGTGGTGGAAGTTTTTCTTTTGCGTCTGTTTTTCTTGAAAGGGGAGTAGTTCCTTCACCATCTTTATGAAACCATAGCCATTCAATTTATTTGCACGCGAACTTACACTTATCCAATGATATTTCGAGGTTTTCTTCATCCAGTCTGTGAAGAACTTTTTCCAGTGTTTCCTTAAGTTTTTCTATCGATCCTTTTGTGATGACCAGAATGTCATCTAAATACGCGTACAGTTGGTTAATGTCAGATCGATTGCTTTCTGGAATTCTGCCGGCATGGCTGTCAGGCCGTAGAACCCAGTTTGGAACTGATAAGTTCCCGTAGCATTTCCTCCTTTGTGACTAAAATTACATTGTTCTCTTGTTTTCTTATCCAACCGGATTTGTGAATACGCATATCTTAAATAAACGGAAGAGAACAGAGTTTGTTCTTTCGTATCAGATTTTATTGTTTGTGCGTTGTTATCGAGTAAAAAATCAATGTTCGGCATCTGATACTTGTTTTTATGAATGAACTTGTTAAATTTTTTTGAGTCCAGCGCAAGTTTGACTGCTTTGTCTTTTTTTGTTATTACGATTGGACTGATAAATAGTTTTTCAGAACACTTTTCCAATTTTATAATATGTTTTTGGTTGAATAATTTGTTGAGTTTGTTTTCCACTCTTTCTTGTAGATGAATCGGAATACGTCGACCCTTTTGTTGAATCGGTGTAACGTCCGGGATGAATTGTGTTTTCATTACATGATTTTTTGCTTTTCCAGTTCGCACGCATAAATTTTCGCAATTTTCTTTTACTCATTGTTTTATACCGGGGTGTGGTGTGTTTTCTTCTGTTATGGTCAACACTTGTTTATGCTGTGGTTTATCTTGAATTAATTTTATACCGATGCTTGAGAGTAAATTACGGCCGAGAATGTTGGCCTTTTGGTTGTCAACCACATTAAATGGAGCCGACTGGATAGTCCACCCACCGATTCTATTGCTAGGCTTAGTCGTCCCTTCGGAATAATAATTTTTCCATTATAGCAAGCTAGATTTCGTGCGGTATCTTCCGGCGGGATTTTTTTTTTAATATTAGTTTTATCGTTTTGATGTATTCGACGTGACGTAGTTTCATTTCGGGAATGACATTGGACTCCCTGAATCTGTAATGGCAAGAAATTCATCGGATTTTGTTTTTAGTTTCACAATATGTCCATTTAATCCTTCCTCACTGATTTTCACCGTTTGTTTAATTTCGGATGCATCTGAAATTGACAACATGAAATAAAAATCTCTCTGTAATTCCTCCCAACCGTTTTGTGACGTTTAACTTCATAGTTTTGCTATGTTCAAAGCCCTTCTCGCGTCTTATTGCATATTAATATGCATCTTGTGGTGTTCTTGTTGCAGCTAGCAATTCCTCGGCGATTTTTTCGTTGTTCATGTGGGCGGTGAACATATCACGGACCCATTCACTTTCCCTATCTCCACAGTCTGCACGGGACTCTAGCTCTACTAAATCCGCGTAGAATTGTTCCAGTGTTTTTTTCTTTGCGTACGGCAGATAAATTTGTATCTTTCGAATGCTATTATTCTATGGGTAATAAAAACTTCTTCTAATACTTGTTTTAGCTGTCTTGTCTTGGTCGTTTGTATATTTAGCGCTGGTCGCTTCTCTTGGTTCTGTCTCTCACTTTCCATGCCTAGACATAGAAATACGAAGCTCCGCATTCTCGCATGCGCTTCGTCCCAGTTTACAGAGTTACACATAACGCCTTTGTCTCTTGCTTTTTGGCAAATATTCTCCCAATTTACATTCTTTTCCTGGTTTCTGACATCTTGATTTCTCCGTTGTGCGTCCGTTTCTCCCTGTATCTCGACTTCCAAAATTGGGTCAGATGGCAGAGTAACCTCAGGTTTCTCACGTAGTAGATTTCGGATCTCTATTCCGTCTTTTGCGAAAACCGCGAGCTCTACAAGTGCAACCCATTTACTCCATTCTAGCGGGTCTCCACTGATGCTTTTCCCCAGAACGAGTTTATATTGAGTGGGTTTTTCGCTGATCATGTTGGCTGCGCCATGTCATACCCGTAGGTATGCGTAATGTTTAATATTGAATCCGAAGGGATTGGCGAGCTAATTATGAATGAGACTAAGACGTAAATAAGACAACTGAATCATAACTGTTTGTTTTTATCTTCTCTTGACAATTCACTAAACTCATTGTTTAGCCTTGTCTTTCAAGGTCACTCGACCAGCTCAACGCAATGAGCCTAATAAATAACTATACACAATATATATTGCCAATCCGGCCGGATGACAATATCTACTGGGCCGGCCGATTGTGAAAAAATTCGTGAGGAAAATTAAGTTTCAAGGAAATTAAAATTTCACTCAGCTATTGTGTTCCTTATCTCTAGGTGAGGGTTATTATCAATTGGAAATTCGGCGTCCGCGAGTACTTGCAAAGAATATGATTTTTTTTTGGAAAATGCGAGTGCTAAATCAATTTTTTAATTGATAATTAATTTTTTGAGGAAATTTTGAAATTTTGTTTAGAACTCGTTTTTTCAAAATATTGAAACAAAATGGTTTGCATTTCTATTGTATTTTTTCATTTTGAAAATTAAATTTGAAGTTGATGTTAAATATCTTTTGATACAGTTACAAAATTAATCGAAGCAAAGATTTTAAAACAACTTACAGCTAAATATACAGCAGCAAGCAAGTATAGTATCTGAGCAATAATTTCCATCAAGAAACCCAATTTACCCTTAATCAATGTTTGAGCAAAACTGACAGAACAATACATGAAAAATGTTTTACCGTGGTTCCAAAAAGTTTTTTTTTTAAATTTTTTTTCCCTATTTTTATTTATACATTTATACGACTAGCAAGTTCGTTTCAGGGAGATTATTGCTCGATGCTGTTGGACTAAGGATAGAAAAATGAAAATTGCTCAAGCGATTCCGATACAAATTTGATGGCAGTTGATTGAATTCTGACAATTGATCTTTTTAATGTGGTAGAATAAAATGACAAAAACTGTTATCATCGGCTGTGTTGTTGGGATAAAAATCCATTCAAGCTGACCTCAAATTAGCTGCAAAATAATTCTATTCGGTATTCAATGAAATCAGTTACTCATCCCTCCATTTTCACTGCCTGCCCTCCATAACCTATTACTTGTTATATAGGCTAGCATGTGGTTAAGTTATAGAAAACCATTTTTTTCTGGCAAATTTTGTCAGCTTTCAGTCGCAGTTGCCAATATGAGACAAGAGGATAGGCAGAAGCAAGCGTACAATTACATCACGACATTATAAGGGAAAAGGTCCCTCATAAAGTCTTGGAGTAAAAGAAAAATTTTGAACGTAATTGATGGAAAAAGTTTGATCTACAACAAGAAAATTGGTAACTGAGTTAGTAGAATTAGTAATCAGTTATAGTTTCCGAGCACGAGTCACTCTTGATCGACGTTTATCTTGTGAAATAGAAGCTGAGTCCAAAAAAGATCACATTCCACATAAGGAAGGCAGAAGGGAACACAACGCGACTGATTTCGTCCACCTACAATCGTACAATTATGCTAGTTGGTCTTAGATACGCATGATTGAAGAATGCTGTGCTTTTTAAAAATAAGTTATTAATTTGACGAAGAAGAAACAGCATTTTTCATGGCCATAAATCTTTGTTTTGGACTATTAATTTTTTTCTCTCTTGCATGATTTTTTTTTCATATTCTCATTCTCATTATTTTTATGTGATCCACAATTTTTTATCTATTATTTTTTGTGTGCATCAATTTTAGGAACGCAACCATAAAAATGGTACCCACTCTATTGTCCAGCGGGTTATTCTCGGGGGCTGGGAGGTATTTGAGTTCATCGGTGTCATCTTCAAGGCCAGTGCTAGTCAATCCCTTGTCTGATTTGGCGACAAGTTTTTGCTTTTGCTCCTTTTTCTCGCCGTTTCTGAAAAGCACGGCAGCCAAAACAGTTTCGATCAGGCATGCGATTTGGAACAGAAAACAGACGAGGAGGTAAAGATCGACCATCTTGAAGTCGCTGGTTGAAGGAAACCGCTGAGCTGTCCCGACCAGCAACACTATTTGAGCTAGGGCCAGAGTTATGGTCAGCCCCGCTCGCTCCGGGGTACATTCTGGGTTAATCCAGAAGTTTACCCAACTAAAATGAGAAAAAAGGAAATTTAATGGGCGCGAAATCATATTATCAGACTTAACTAAGTATCAATCTTGCTTGACTACATTTTTTTTTCAATTTTGTAAAAATTTTTTTAACTCACTGTTTCGTAATTCACTTTCCTTGATCATGCCCGCACTGAAGTTTCATGGATAAAATTCGATTAAGTTTCAGTTTTATTGTCAATGGCTATAAAAGTGAAAAAAATAATCTACTATACTCAATTAGAAATGGATTACAATGCTTTTATTTAACAAAGCATTTAACAAAGCATTGCAAATCAGTTATAATAGATTATTTCTCACTTTTCTAGATAAAGACATTGAAACTCCATAATAGTCGTTTTTTTTGCACTTTTTTGAGATGCGATTTTCAAATGCACATAAAGTGCTTTCTACGTTTTAGACTAAAGCTGGTTACTTGTTGTTCAATTTCAACTTTTTTCTGAACAACTTTGATTTTTGTTACCGTTTCTATGTTACTCAGTTTTGTTCCTTTCAACAGTTTTCTTAATTTATTTAGAAATTTGAACGGGGGGGGGGTTAAAATTGCAAGTGGACTGTTTTACAAAGGATTGCGTGCCGAAAAAATCAATTTTTTTGGCTCGAGTCTTCCAAAAAATGGAAGACTGTCTTTTCGAAAAAAAGGATAAAAAAACCTGAAACACCCTCCACTGATCTGAAATACCCCCCTCCACCAGAACCAAAACCCTCCCCCCCCCACCCCCAACAGAACCAAAATAAAATCCCCCAGCCCTCGCCAAAACTTACTCGTGGGGGTAACGGGTTTGTTCAGGTGGGCGGGGCGGGGCGGGTTATGCTTAGATGGCTTAGGTTGGTAGTGGTTCAGGGGTACAGGTGGTAAGATAAAGGTACGGTGTTGAGGCAAAAGGGCACACAACAAGTTGGGGGTGGGGAGATTGTTAGGGGGCAAACGTTAGGGGGGGGGGAGATTAAAAGACTCATTTTGCAATTTGAAAAAGTTTAAGTTTAGAAATCGAGAAGGCCGTACAATGACTTTGCAATATTTCCGTGATACTCATTTTATATAGTGATAAAATAAAGTGGAAAGTGGAAAAAAAAATCCATTTTAAATGAATTATAACTTCAAATTTGATAAAAAAACAATGGATTTTAATCGATTTTTTATTCCATTTTGTTGTCTGAATACAACATGGAATCGATTATATTGATAGCTTAGACCACAAAGTCCATTATGATTGACTTTTACCCACTTTTTGTAGATGGGTGTAGCAAGATCGATTAAAAACTACCTTAGAAGAAACTGTCGATAAATTTATGTAAGCATAATGCCAAAATTGTAACAAATTCTGCTGAAAATGAGCGAGCATGAAAAGATTCTCCTCTTTCTTCACTCTGCATTGGCCCCATTAAAATCTATATATCTGATTTTCAAGATCGACTAAAAATTACCCAAGAAAAAACTGTCGATAAACATTACGAGGCCAAACTGTGCATTCTGTGCATTGTAAGCGGAATCCGCAACGGGCCAAAATCAGATTTGCTGCGGAATCGGCAACATTGCTACTTTTCTTTGATCTTCTTCTATGCTGTTTTGGATTCCACAAACAAATAACAAATACCTAAATCATTGTACCGCTCAAAATTGCTCCAAAAAATAAGCAAGTTTGCGGAATCCGCAACTGTATTTGCGAAATCCAGAACAGTTTGAGGAATCCACAAACAAATGATAAGACATTTGTATCGTTAAATGATCTGATATTTGTTTGTTACCTATATGTTAAGAGGAGTTTGAGCGAAAACAATCCAAATACAATTTTTTCTCCCTGCTCAAAGTGCTCAGAACAACAGGTTGAAAAACTATTGGCGCAAGCTTCTGCAAATAATTTTAGCGTGTGTATAAACAGCTGGGATATTTCATCTGGTGAAAAATACGAAAACAGTTAAAAAAACAATGTTACGTTCCAACCAAGAAACTAACATCGTTTCAATTGATTGTTCCGACCATGCCACTTAAAGCAACTGGAGGGCACAAAGCCGTAGGGTCCGTTTTTCCATCCAGTTTTCCCTGCCTCAACAAAACTCATTGGAGGGTAAAAATTGATCTCATATCCCTATTGGGCGTGACTGGAACACAATAAAAAAATCAAAATTGTTACAGTGTTGAGAAGAACTGGCCAGCAATTTGCATGTTTTGCAGACTAAATATCACGCGAAGTTTTATGCAAGGTTGACCTCTCAAGCTTAAATTTACAACATAATTGGCAATCTTTTTACTACGCTCTTTTTTGTGATTTTTACCTACTTCAATTGCTCTTTCTAGAATGTAAAAGAAAACAACAGTAATTTTAGACAACAAAAAAATCTCAAAAAATCCTTTTATACATATTTTTGTTCCGACTTTCGGTACGAAAGTAACGGAATATTTGTGCTCGGGGTGGGTTTTTTTTTTCTTCAGACAAATTTCGACTTTTTAACTAGCCATTTTTGACGGAGTATTTATATATCATTCGAAAGGTATTGTTGTCTTGAGCTCGAATTTGAAAAGATATTTTACCTGTGATCATTTTTCGGAAAGTTACGGGGGTTTAAAGATTGCCATTTTGGCCAACTTGGGACAATTAACGCGCGATATATTTCGCGTTATTAACGCGTAAGCGGAGAGTTAATCCATCTTAGAAATTGTTCCAAATTGGTTAAAAGAAGCCTATTTGCCATAATTGGTTTGTTACAAGGAGCGAAATCTATCCTTTTGTACTTTATATGGCGTGTGGGGGGATGATTTTTATTTAAAAAATTTCAAATTTTAGAATTTTTTTTTTCATTTTGTTTTATTTCATTGAATTTTTTAACGTTAATACTGCTCCATAAACCTTAAAAGGCAGTCGGAACATTCAGGGCTTCGCCCTGATACGAGCAGTCTTGATTATTTTTCGAATAATTCATTTCATTATTGTTCCGACTTTCGATACGAAAGTAACGGAATATTTGTGCTCGGGTGGGTTTTTTTTTTCTTCAGACAAATTTTTCGACTTTTTAACTAGCCATTTTTGACGGAAATTTTTTATATCATTCGAAAGCCACTGTTGTCCTGAACTTAAATTTGAAAAGATATTTCACCTGTGATTATTTTTCGCAAAGTTATGAGGGTTTAAAGATTGCCATTTTGGCCATTTTGACCAATTTGGGACAATTAACGCGCGATATAATTCGCGCTATTAACGCGTAAGCGGAGATTTAATCCGTCTTATAAATCGTTCCAAATTGGTTGAACGAAGTTTATTTGCCATAATTGATTTGTTACAAGGAACGAAATCTATCTTTTTGTACTTTATATGGCGTGTGGGGGGATGATTTTCACAAAAAATTTCAAATTTTGGAAAAAAAAATGTTCATTTTATTTTATTTAATTAAATTTTTTATGTTATTACTGCTGCTCCATAAACCTTAAAAGGCAGTCGGAACCTTCAGGGCTTCGCCCTGATACGAGCAGTATTGTTTAAATTTGAATTTGTTAGGGGCGTTCTGTGCTACTTGCACAGCAACCACTGGCTATTCCTATTTGAAATTTGTCTCATATTTAATTTTAACCGGAGGCCTGGCTTAAAACAAATCCATTTTAAACCAAAAAGACGGAATTTGTCAGTTTTTCATACACCAATTACCTTAAACCTTTTGAGGTCTTTAAATTTTGAAACTTTCATTAGTAAAAGAATAACCTTTTCTTGGGCAGCTGAAACAGATTATTTTTTGACTTTCAAATGATTTAAAAATGTTTTTTGTTCACAGTAAATGTGAAAAACAATTTTTGATTAGATCTCTGCAGTCAATATATCATTTTATTAAGACTTAAGGGTAAAGACATTAATCAAAATTATATTGGATAATATTGTAATAAGGTCGAGGTTCTTTCACGCCGATAGGATATCATCTATAAAATTAAGGGTGCATTGTCTATCTTCAAAAACTGGGATCAACGAGATTTTGATATATAAGCTTAAGCGTCTTAAGCAAGCTTGAGCGGCGAAATAGTTCCGGGTTTTATATCAAATCCAAAATTTGATCGAACCTTCAACTATATGAAAGAAATATTGCGGCAGTTTTTTTGCATCTGGCCGCAAATGACCAAATTTTTCAAATATCAAAGAAAAAATGAAATAACTCAATACATGGACCAAAAATAGCAAGAACTTTTGCATATTTCAGCCTCATGATAAAATATTTTTGCAATACTGAGGGAGGGGAGAATGTGTATGTACGGTGGTATTATAGTATCTCCAGAAGGGAACAAAGCGTCAATAGAAAGTGAATAAAATTGATTACTTGAGCACTGCGAGTGATGAGCTGGGCAGGTAAATGGTGAGCAGGTATATCTGGTACTTGCGGGACATTCTGATCCACAGCACGTGTTCAGTGTACAGATCCCCCATGTAGGTATTCGTACTACTCTCGTAGTCTCTATACTCAGTCGCCACAGGAATGGATGGATTTAAAACCAATTTTTTTGTTTTTGATTCAAATCTGACATTTTTTTTGTCAAATTGGTAAATTTCTAAATAGGATTTTTTGTGTTTTTGAATATTTTTTTTGGCTTGTGGAAAATTGACGAAGTCCTTTGACAATAATTGATCTACTTTGATCTACTTATTCATAACTATTTTAAATAAGAGTCTTCTTTTGTAATTTTTTTCCAGTTCTCATATCAGTGAATTCAAAAAATTCATTCCTGGTCAGTTTAAAGTCGGCGAGCTTGAAGTTGGCAGTCTCCTGGCTTGGGTACATGCCAGAAAGCTTTGGAGAAATGTTCAGTTTCACTTGCTTGTCATGATATTTGTACGTCCCTATTCGAATCTAAAGCACAAATTGCAATGTCACTAGGTAGTTAAAATTAGCTCGAAACGAACATCAGTATGACGAAAAAACAAACAAAGATAACGGAGATACGTTTCTGTTAGAGCAAAGAACCATACTCTTTGGAAGTTTTAATCTGTAAATGATCACAGCATAGACTAATATCTAGTTCCTATTTCAGAGATGCATAACGCTCAGTTTGGAACAGGTAGCTCTGTTAGTATGAGCAAAGAATTGCAATCATAATTAGTGGGTTTGCATTTCACTACGCCGAGAATGCCTTACCTTGATTGTTCGATGTTAACAGAGTATCATAAAAAAATAAGCTAAGTTTATAAGTCTAAGTTGGCTAGCTTTAACAGGTTATGGGCCCACCTTGAGACCCTCAGTAATCAATTTTTAAAAATTTTCAAAGTTTCAAAAAGTCAAAAAACAGAGAAGAGATTATAACTCACTTTAATGGATCTTTTCAATGGATGCCACAATTACATGGTTATCCTTCACAGGCACCCAGGAGGAATTTCCCACCTGGCACCCGGTTTGTTGCCTTCAGTCAGACGAAAGGCCTCAAAGGCACAATCATAGATGAAGACACAAATTGGGCGGTAAATCAAAAGCCGATGACCGAGCCAAATACGACAGAGAGTTGCTTGCTTACCGAAAACAAATGGCTGTTATCGAGTCATGATAAAACGAGATCTGCTGCTACCTAGCAGCGGCACTTACTGTTTCACATGATGTTGATCAGGCATGACTGTGTCGACTGGAAAATCAAAGGTGATGTTTAAACTGCTTGGAAACTAAACATGCAGAGGTTCAAGAGCGATGAGGCAACCACGCTTGCCAGTGCGATGCACCAGCTGGCACGCTTTCATCTCAAAGATGATGAAAAGATGTTCCAGTATTTCATACGGGCACAAGCATAGAGAAACTTTGGCAGAAAAAAGCAGTATTTAACATGAAGGGCGTGTAAACAAAAGGGTCATGTACCTAATTTTTGGCGATCAGAACCAGAGGAAAACCTGGTAGTATATTCTTTTTTCACGTGTTACCATGAAACCAAACCAAAAGATTTCATATGAACTCAGGAAGCAAAAATCACATAGTAGCTAATGAAGCTAAAAATACAAAAAACTACTCTCATAATAAAAAACCTACTTCTTGTACCGAAATACAGAACTAATTTCACTTCCGTTTCAATAATCGTTGAAAAGGGACAGGCACGCAGTCAGACACAAAAAAGCAAAAATTGTTTTACTACAAAAACGGAAAAAACTAGGATTGCTAAAAAAGGAAGCTGTTCCGTCTTTCTGATATTGCATCGAACACGCAGCTTTTTGTGAATCATACTTTCACTTTTGATTTTGAAAACACAAACTAAATTTTGCATTAAATGTTTGGAAACTTAAATTTTGAAGATTTAAAGGCAGCGGTACCATCAAAACGGTATCGGCAACGGTACTAGATCCGTTGAATATTCAAGCAGTAAAGGATTTTGATAAAAGTTTACTTTTTAAACGACTTCATTACCTTTGCAATAATTATGAAAACATGAATTACAGAAAAAGATGCTCTTGAAACAATACGAGAGTTAGTAGCAGAAAATGCTAGATAAAATCTTCTTCGCATGACCATCCAAATAATTTTAAGAAAAAACAAATCAGCACATTTCATGCACGCTGAAAAAATAGGCATGAATTCACAGTCTTTGACATTTCTGATCAAAATGGAGTAGCAGAAGTGTACAATCAAACAGTGGTTGAAATGGCTAGATGTCTTTTATTTCAAGCATCTCTTAAATAAACAGCTTAAGTTAGAGCTTTAGAAACAGTTATTCTCACACGCTGTTAAATGAAAAGATTCGGCAAAAAAACTTCAGCGTTTCAAATTTTTGGAATGAACAACCAAACTCAGAGCTTACAAGAATTTGTAGATGTTTTGCTGATGTGAAAACAACTGGGCAACAAAAATTTTTTCAAACTCAAAGATTGACAGATTTTTTCCGTGGAAAAGATGCTTCAAGTACGGCTTAATTTATCCAAAATTTACAAAAAGAGACGCATATACAGTGAAAATTATTTTGTCCAATGAAAAACTTTTTGCTGCTCGAAATTAAACTACTGATACATAAACCCAAAAAGAAGAAATTTTAATTTTGATCTAAGCTCAAGCATTGATTTAAGCATACTCAACGAATTGAACTGCGAAGCAGTGAAGTCAGATATATTAGATAAACTTTATAAAGAGTCAGTTATTGAATTATCGAATCAGTAGTAGCGAAGGTGAGAGAGAATTTGAAAAAATAACAAAAGTTCAGGAATAAGTAAACAAAAACAGACAGTAATTTTAAAACCAGCAGTTGCAGGTCAGCCTTTTGAACGTAGACTTGAAAAAATCCAGTACCAAAACAAAGCAAACAGAAAGCACCTTCACAAACTGCAGTCGCAGGTCAATTTTGAAAAATGCTTTACGTCATGTAGCAGAATCAAAATGAAACTAGTCGCACTAAATTTTAAGCATAACTTCCAGCGTTCCGGCAGACTAAGATGTCCATCAGAGAGGTACGGCACATTTTATACCCGCAACAGTGAGCTAGTAACACTTTTTACAGAATCCGGAACATATAAGCCGGCAATCGAATCTAGCAATTACGATAAATGGCGTGAAGCAATGCAAACAGAAGCTGATTAATTAATTGATTGCCATACAAAGGAAACTATCAGCGAAACCCAAAAAAGTCAATCTTAAATAAAAAAGATGGATTAAAAAGATGATGTTGAATAAAATTGGGGTTTCGAAAAAAACAAAATGCGTAAGTACCTAAAATTTTTCAGCAAGACAAGGTGTGATTTTTTTCAAAACATATGCACCTACAAATAAACCAGAAACTTTCCGAGCACTCATAGCTTTAGCAGCTGAGAACAAGTAGATATCAAACCAGCATTTCTTCATCGAATGTTAAATGAAGATTTTTACCTCGAGCAGCTGAAGATACTCTCAAAACGGAACACTCTCGTTTGTAAAAAGAACAATTTTTTATACAGCTGAAACGCTCAATTCGAAATTGGTATCAACAACTAAAAATTTTTCTCAATGAGCAAAAATTTAATAGAAGCAGAATTAAATTTTGTTTTTATGCTAGGATTGAGCACAAAATCTACATTTTAATCTGGGTGGACAAACTAATTTTAGCATGCTCTCATTAGCAAGACTTGGAAAACTTTATGATTGAGTTTGAAAGAAAATTTAGAATGGATGCTAGAGGGGATCTTGACTGGTTTTTCGAAAAGCGAATAGAGGAAACTGAAAACTTCATCAACCTAGATGAAAAGACTAAGACAAAAAGCATATATAAGTTCTGTAAAATTGAAATTTTTGCGCAATAAGAGAACTCACAGCAGTTCAGTTTTGAAGTTTAGTAGACTCCCTGTAATTCCTAGCTAAGCATATTGGGCCATATATCATGTGGAATGTGAATGTTCTATCAGGGTTCATCAACCCACTTTTTACTGCCGAACTATATTGCGCCAGTAAACAGGTCTTGCACAACCCCCAACACAAAAAACCTGAAAAATGCATACCCCAAGAACCTTGATCTTGAAATATTTGGAGAAGCAGATATTGAATGGAACGGCAATGCAGATGAGAGAACTTCAACGATAGGCTGCTTTTGGAAGCTTGGACGATCAAAGTAGGTGCGCTACAAGTTGGCAAATCAAAAAACAACCACCTTTGTCACTGTCTTCATGAGAACCCGAATGCAATTCACTGGATTCAGCTGCTCAAGAAGCGATGTCTTTATGAATGCTGAGGCTCATCGCCCAAGATGGGATATGAACGACACAAACCAACTTTAATTGGAAGAGAAAATCAAAACTATCTCAAAACTGCAGCCAACCCTGTTTTGTCTAAGAGGTCAAAACTCATCGATAAAAAATATATTTTCGCTCGCGAGACAGTTGAAGATTGAAGGTTTACCCTAATCTAAACGCCAACGGACGCAATGGCAGCCGATATTTTCAAGGAAATCTTCCATTTACTAAAGTCGAACAGCACCGTTCAAATCTAATGGGTCGTTCCGATGTTCAAATTATTCCGGACGGACCAGGAAAAAACTGTGTGGGGGGTTCAGAAAACTTTGGGGTTATTAGCAAACTAATCTGTAAGTCCATAGTAAAATTTTTTAAATATTTGATTTGCGAGTCTCCAACTGAATAATTTGATTTTCAACTTTGATGCAATTATGATTGAGGCTCAATTATGACTTTAAGCAAGCTAGCCTAACTTTATGAGTTGCAGAGATTTAGCTTTAAAGAGCCTGATATGATTTGAATAACAGATGCAATTAATGATGTTGGAATTTGAAATGATGAAAATCAGGACTCTGCCACGTCGGCAAAAATCAACATTAAATTTGATTGGAGGACCACACATACCCCAATTTTCGATTCATACTTCGTTGCTACAGAATGTCTCAATTTTGTACACTCGCTTAGTGAACTAAAATCTCTAGAAAAAAATTACACAGTCTGCTTTGCAAAAAACTGCTCGTTGTTTCTAATATTGTTTCCCATTATTCGTTTACGTTTCTAATAGTTTCTTCTTCCCTGAACTGTCTGATCAAAAAAATAATTTTTAGAATTAAGAAAATAATCATTATAGATCAAAAAATTTTCCAAAAAACACCTATTCAAGAAAATTACAGACCAAAGAGTGCAGTATTCACTAAAATAAGACTCGACTTGCAAATAAATATAATTAGGAAAATTGTATCGACTAGCATAAAACATGAAATGCAAAATTTGAATACTTTCGAAATGTTAATCACTCAGAAATACATATAGTTCACAGTTTTCTCTCATAAAATACAATTTGTGCTGCAATCAGTGTTCGGTGCAAGCCATTACAGGTCCAGGTGTGACTGATGATATTTGATCAAGGAGTTTTATTTGATTCTTGATTGCAAAATTTATCATTTGCTATAACTTCTCGCTCTCAGACATATTAATTTTATTTTGAACGGATCAAAGTTATTTTTTTCTGCTTTTTGTTTTTTCGAAATTCTGCTAGTCAATAATATTTCATTTTTTCAAATTTTTATGATTGTCGAGTTCTATGCTAGACGCGCGGTCACGCAAAATAATTTGTACTTTTTTTAGGGTAAAAAGAATCTGATTGTGATTTTTTTGAATCTCAACTAATAACATTTTTTTGTAAAGTATTTGAAGTTTGTTTGGAGCCAAAACTTCAAATGTGTTTGAATTTAATGATAAAAACAATAAGGGGGTTGCCCTGGACTCTTCAACATCCTTTCTATGTTATTTTGGTTGTGTAACCATGTTGTTTATTTCTTAAATATTTCATAAAAAACTTCATGCTTTGTTTTTCTTTATAGAATAAGTGTGTTGTTTCAATTTTCCATGATCAATTAAACAATCTCCGCCTCCTATGGTATCTAATAAAAAACTTCCACCCCTATAAACAAATAAAAAAATTTAGCAATCGAGCTTCGTATTGAGAATTCTAATTTTGCCGCATGCTGATTGGTCGAAAATTCGGCTACCTTAATCTACTTAACAAATTCTCCCCTTTCTGGAAGGGGGGAGGTTCTTAAGTAGACCCCTTAAATAATGTTTCCCCCCTTTGCATGTATTATTTTTTGACCCCCTGCCAACACTATTTCGAGATATCCATTCTTGGCTGACTGACCTTAACATTTTTCTTAAGACGCCTTAGGCGCCAATACATACAAGTTTTGAGGGAGGAGCAGCCGCCAAAAAAATAGCAATTTTGTGTCAAAGTTTTCCAAAAAATGCTTAAAAATGCCTGTTTCTTCAAAAAAATTGCCTGCGAAGAATAAACTTTGGTTCAAATAGGTTCTTTGTGGTGATTTCGGAAAGCTCAGAAACTCATTTTGGTCGGCCTAAAAAAGTCGTCAAAACTTTCGATTTTCTTTTTGAGAATCTTCCACCCCCCCCCCCCCCCCCCCCCCTCGAGAAAATCCTTTTTGCATTACTTGTATTTATTTGATACAATTTGAAAATTTTTTAAAGTATTGAAAATGTTTCATCCAAAATCGAAAGATCGAAAGAGGAGGGAAGGGAAATAAATAGGTCGAGGCTAGTCGTTAAGAAAAAATGATTTTGTGTTTAAAAGCAAAATCAAAATCCTGAAGCTTCCTGTGCATAGTATTGAAATTTACAAAATCAATTATTATAAAAAAGTAAAGCTTGTTATCTATAGTTAACAAGCTTTAATTTTTTACATTTGTTTTTTCTGTAACGTTCTATTCAGGGGCGGGGGGGGGGGGGGGCGGACGCCCCCCCTCAGGGATTCGACCCCCTGCCAACCCAAAGGGTCCCCCCTTTGGTACTTTTTAAGAAATCCATTTTTGGCCGACCGACCCTAAAATTTTCCAAAAAGTGCCCAAAAACGGCTTTTTTGACCTGGTTTTTCAAAAAAATTGCCTGCGGCGCAGAAAATTTGGCCAAAACAGGGTCTTTTTATTGCTTTGGGAGAGCTCGGAAAATCAATCTGATCGACCTAAAAAAAAAAAAAAGGTCGTCAAAATTTTCGAAAATTTTTTGAAAATCCGCCCCCCCCTCGAGAAAATCCTAGATCCGCCCCTGGTTCTATTCTATGCAGAGGAACTTTTGCAATTTTGATTTCGCTTTTAAACACAAACTCATTTTTTCTTAACGATTCAATTGAAAAGAAAATTATTTTTTGACACTATTTCAGGTTTTTCATCCTTGTTAAACTTTCTAGGAAAACAAACAGGCGAGGTGTGTTGTTAAGTTTTTTTTTGTTATGCTTAATAGAAACGGCTTTTTTTATGCAAAAACCGCATCTCTTAAACTGTTTCCTCCTTTTGCAAAAGGGGAAGATTTGTTTCTTGGTACAAAAATTACATTTGCTAAACCATTGAACTATTTTTGATAGGGGTGGTAATTTGTTTTAGACACTCTAGGGTGGGAGGGGTGGTTCTTTAAAGATGTCCCAAAAGTCTAAGTTGTGATTTTTGGGCTTCTTGATTCAAATAAAACTACTTTAGAGGAGAATAATGAAAATTGTTATAACAAAAAAAAACGAACCAAAAATTGAACCACAGATAAATCAAAACCAAACTTAAATCGCGCCCCAAACCAAGTTACGGAATATTTGGATAGCCGTATTTTTTCAGCAGAAAAATTTTGCCCCTCAAAACACCACATCATTAGTTAGAGAGTATAATAGAAATATAATATCCAGTTAAGTTAGTATGAATATTGCACCATTTTGTTCCCAAAGTGTGAAACAAAAAGTAAGCTTTGTACTCACACTACATTTGTGACTGTCGAGGGGAAAGAAGAACATCTTCATAGGGCAGGCGGTTGTCAAAATGTAGCGAACAGAGTAGAAGATGGAGCCATTTTTGTCTATCCGAATACACACGTTGTCATTCTTGTCATCGACCGGAGCAATCGACACCGCAGACTAAAAATAGCAGTTTTTTTGTTTAATTGTCTCGTTAATTTCAACAGGACACATGTGAACAATCTACCCCTACAGATACCAAGTGAGCAATCTCTTCCCTTAAGTTAAATGGCAAATTCAAGCAGTAGGGCCTGTATGTACCATGCTCAAATCTGATTGGCTGAAAAATTATACTTTTAACAAGGTGAGCGATAGCCTCTCTAAATTGGTTTAAGGGGAGATTGTTCTCTTGGTCCAAAGTTAGTCCAGTATTTTGGTAAGATATTATTGTGTACTTCATTTTTAACAGGAAATGGAAAAGTTCAATGACTAATTGGCAAAGATTAGTGAATCTCGTTAATTTTCCACTGGTTTTTGGTGGTTTTTGACTGGGTTGTTTTGTATTTAACTTCAAAATTTCGAACGAAAACACTTTTTATGACAGAGCAATTTTAACGCCAAAAAAAAGAAATGGGTCAAAATAGCAAAAACGCAGAACGTTTAATGTACGATTTTTTTGAGCATTTAAATAAATAAGTCAGTCAAAACCACAAAACATGCATTCAGCAAAAATAGCAGAAACACAGTTTTTCTCGAGAATGAAAACCTTATTGAGCATGAATTTTTTTAGCATAAAAACCAGTCATTCAAACGACAAAATGTGATTCAGCAAAACAGCTCTATTAGCTCTATCAATTTTTTGAGACTTCAGACTTCAGACAAAAATCATACTTTCAACACCAAAAAACGTTTATTCAGCAAAAAAAGCAAAATTACAGTTTTCTTTGATATATGCTTTATTGAGCATGAAAATTAGATGATCAAATGAAAAAAAAAACTTGTACTCAAACGCATAATGCAAAAACGCATAATGCTTTAAAGTTTATTGCTAAAAAGTCTCACTAAAATCCGAAAAGAACTGATTTTAACAGATAAAAAATGGTTTAAGTGCTTACCTCGTTACGCTTAAAGATTTTATCGAGAAACACTATCCGAATCTTGTTAACAACCCCCCCCCCCATTGTTGCAATAGGGGCGAGAATCGTAACAAGGAATCAGATTAGTATATGCTTAACTGATCAATTCTCTCTTTATAGGGAGGGGGAGATTCGTTACAAGGTACCAAAGGGGGGGGGGGAGGATAGTTAACAAGATCCCTCTATCCATTTTACCATTTTAATCGATTACAACGGCTTGTAGTCAATTTTTAAATTTTTTTTCAGTGTGCTATTTTCATTTGTTCATCGTGATCGGGGTAGGGAGGGGGGGGGGGGGGCTGGGTTGTGATTGAGGGACGTGGTGTGGGAAGAGAAATTGTGGGAGGGGTGGCAAACTATGGGGCAACATCGTGTCGATCATGTGAATGTATGTTTTTGTTCCGGTTTTAGTTAGTTGCATACAGAGACAAATTTTGCATACAGAGACAGATAATGATACATCTATGAATCTTAGATATTTAAAGTTTCACTTTTCATTTACAGGTTGCTTTCAAAACACGTTTTTTATGAATCTTCTCTCGTTTCATTAGCTTCTAGGTTGTGGAATCCTTTTCCTTCTATAGACAGCAAAACTGAATGATTATGTTTGGAATGATTACGAGTTTTATTAAAAGCTATTGTTTTTTGTTCACGCATAATTTCGCAGTTCATCAATTTTTTACTGCATTTTGCGCTGAACAAGTTTCTATAATATTGATTTAAAATTACCGGATATAATTATTTAAAATTCTGAACAGAATTTTTTTCGAGTTCACTACCTTTGTTGAGGCGCAATCTATTTGGCGAATTTTCAAACCAAAATCATACCCTCAAAATGGTTCAACTAAACAGGGTCAATTCCTGTAAGAAAAACTACTATCAATTCTTTTTCATTTTTTTAATTGAACTATATGAGTTCACCCGTTTTGACGGTACAGTTTTGGTGCAAAATTTAGCCAAATAAATTGCACCCTTGCAAAGCTTGAAAATTTGCGAAAAACTTCTCTTCGTCAATTTTGTTCAAACTTAACAGAGTATGAAAAAACGGGTCTGATTTTTAAAAAAATTAATTCAAACGGTTATTTTGGATCAGAACTATGGAAGCTGGTTCACCACAAAAAGTAGTGAAAAAATGATGAACTGCAAAAACATGCCTGAACAAAAAACTAGAATTTAATGAAAAATATCATAAGAATCCTTCCCGCATGAGAATAGCCCCCGTAAAAGTCAGACAAAATCGTATCCGCTCAAAGTCCTGAATGTTTCGACTGCCCTTTAAATTGTCTCAAATAGTTTTTGATAAACTGAAAATCGGTAAATGAAATTTTAGATTGATGATATCAAAGCTTAAGTATTAAAATTTGAGTCGTGTATGGAGTGATTTCGACCAATTAACTCGTCTCAATTGAATTTGAACAATTTTGTAGTGCGGGAAAAATATCATGCGTGATTACCTCGCGTTACACCTACAAGTTTTTTCGCAAAAAGCTTAGTCAGGATAAAATATTAGTGTTCGCACTCGGTAGGGCCAAGAGGTTCCCGGGATTGATACCCCGAGTGAGGAAATAAAATATATTTTTTGGAATTTGGTCTAAGGCAAAAACTACCCCGAGCATATATATTCCTTACTTTCCTCGAGGTCAAAACAAAATCGTGTTTTAATGGATCAAAATGAGAAGAAATAATTTCTTTTTATTATATTTGCATTTTATTAATAAACTGTGTCCCTGATATCAACAAAATAAGAAAGTTGAGATTAGCCAGAAAAATAAATTGGGTTGTGACGTGAAGTTAGGAACGGGAAAAGGCGTCTTAAGAAAATGCAAAAAAATTACTCATATTAAGACAAAGCCATGAATGTTTTGGCTCCCTTGTAAAGTCAGTTGAGTAGTGATCACCTTAAATAAAATTATTAAAAAATTGAAAGTTCTAAATTTTTTCTCAAACTTTTGAGAATCATATCCTCAAGCGCTAAGTAAAACACAAAATGTTTTTTTTTGTATTAACAGTGTAAAAACAAACTAAATAGCATACCTAAATTACATCACGCATTTTTATTCCAAAATGACTAAATTGGCAACCTTTACACCCCATAACTTTACAAAAAATGATCACAGGTAAGAAAAGTCCGAACAGTCCGAACAATAACCCGGATCCAGTTCATGATTTAAGTTTAATGGTTTGAAAAACGGTTAAGGATTTGATTTTATCGGAATGAGACGTAAATTTTGATAGGAGCAGTTTGTCATTAAAGTTGCCATTGAAATAGCAAATTGATTTGAAACAATGTCAACGGCTAAATCGGAAAAAAGCTAACATAGTTTTACTTAAACAATACAAATGCGAACATAGTTTTATAGATTTCAGCAGTAAAATTATTCTTGGTTTTAGCTGGCTGAATTGGATTTGGTTGTTTTTGAGAAAAGGAGGATATTCATGAGTACATTCGAAAAAAATTCCAACGAAAAAGGTTTACGTGAAAAAAGTCCATTATTGGAGCTGAGTCGTAGAAAAGTTGATCATTACAAAAAAATCATTCACAAAATGGAATAATTTAAAACATTCTGCTCAATCTAAGGATTATTTTTTTTTCCTTGCAAGTTTTGATTTTTAAATAAAAATGCAAAGATTGTTTGAAAAATGAAACATGCAGCGTAAATTTCATAACTCAAAGCTGAATAGATGAATGTAATATCCAAACATTTTTTTATGTGTTTCTTATGCGGAAAATAAATCGCAAATTGATTTCCAGGTACAGCCCAGTTGTCAAAATTGACCGATGTTCTGGTCGATTTGTCGTAAGTAGTGAGTAATGGCCAAAAAAGTTGCATTTCTTTTTACATAATTTATACCTGAAAGTAGAAATCTGGTTTCCAGATGACATCTGCAAAATCCTTCCCCATAGTGATGCGATCGGTGCACATGTCCTCGGAACATTCGCTGTGGTTGGTGCCGCGGAGGTTTTTGTAAATCTGATGCCATGTGCTATTCAGCCGAGAGTCATTCCAGGAAGCCTGCATAAACAACCAGCATCGAAAGTTATTCTGGAGTGATTAATGATTTTGTTTCGTTTTATTTTTAAAATGTTTTTCCACGCATAAAAAAAAAAGAAATGAGTTGAGTGATAGATCATTTTGAAACCCTTTCAATTGTTTCAAGCCCAGCGTCGAGAAAAACCGGGCTGAAATTTTGAGTTTTAGAGTATTTTCGAGGATTAAAGCTGTCGAATAAAGCGATCGAGTAACATTCGTATAATAAAAATTATAGATTTGTAGGTCAGAAACTTGATTTTATTAAACCAAAACTAGTTTTGGAAGCTTCATTTAACGCTTTTTTGCCAATAAAAAAACTTCTGAAGTATTTGAAAAATTGTAGAGTAAAATGTTTTTTATAGTTGTTATTGATGTTCATTTTGGGATGTAGGGATAAATATAGGGATGTTCATTTTGGGTGTTTAAATGAGAAGAGGGGTGGAGAGGCTGAGCTAAGTTTTTTGAATGTGAGTAGGTGTTAAAAATTGGGTAGGCTGTGATTAATGCATAAAAACGTCCAAACTTCTCAAAAAATTAGGAAAATGTCGGATTTTAAATGGATTGTAAAATAGTTAAAATCTTCAAGTTAAAAGTAATATAAAGGATCGTGCCTACACAAAACAGTCCCACTCAAAACAATTCAGATCGAAACAGTCCAGAAACGTATGAAACTGAACAGAAAACATTCCAATTTTAAGCAGTCCAAAAAAGAGTCCCAATTTGCCATTGTTTTTAAAACCGCTAGGCCGAGAATTGTCCATTGTATAAGCAACATGAACAACAAGTTAGTTAATACAGCAGTCACAACTGCAAAAGTTGGACTTTTTTGCTTGGGCTGTTTTGTATAGGCACCAATAGATTATATTTGCTTGCATTGCACCAATTTGTAATTATACTCGACTATAAGGACAACAGTTTTGAATACAAATTATGATTATAATTGAACTTTATCATTGGATCTTTAGTGTGGGTAGCTTGATTTCACAAAAACAGTTCTGGGCTAATCGTTCGAGGCCAAACCGTGTATTCTGTGGATTGCAAGCGAAATGCGCAGCAGGCCGAAAATAAGGTTGGTCGCGGAATAGTTTTGTTTGATGTTTTTGCTGATTTGGATTCCACGAACGCATGGCTGAAAATATATTGCTCAAAATTGCTCCAAAAACAGGCGAGTTTGTGAAATCTTTAGCACAATTTGCGAAATCTGCAAATTTGTGGAATCTAAAAACGAATAAGAAAATATAGGTAAATTAAAAATATGCTGTTGAGGAATCTGCAACTGTAAGCGGAACCCGCAAAATGCAAGCGGAATTCGCAAAATGTAAGTGAAATCCGCTCACAATTACGGAATCTGGCTACAGTTTACGGAAGTAACTAGCATTTGCAGAGACCAGAACAACTACCTATGTCCGCTCGGTGTGGAATCTGTAGCAAAACCAATGTTCCGACAAAACTAACGTTACACGTATTTTAACGCGGATTCCACGAAGGTTTTGTAAGTGGAATCCACTTACAACTTGAACAAATTTGAACGCTTGTCTCTGAATTCCAATAGCCCCTACAGACACCTAATGTTGTGCCTATCCAGTGCACAGTTTGGCTTCGTAAAGTTTTCCCGTACCCCATCGTTGGATTTTAATTTTGAAAAACAAGTTTATTCATAAGATAATAAAAATCTGGTGAACAAACTAATTATTGTGAACAATTTTGCTCTTCATACTTGACATCGTAAAATCACGCATCACATCACGTATAAATTCAATTAATTTATTCATAAGGTAATAAAAATCTAATTTAATCAAAACGCATAAAATTGTGCATAAGATCACGCATAAATTCAATCAATTTAATCATAAGGTAATAAAAATCTGGTGGAATAAACTAATAATTGTACTTTCATACTTTACATAGTAAATCTACGCATTCATCCATAATACACGTGAAATAACTATACAAATTGAAAAATTGAAATTTGTGCGTGGGAGGTGATGGAAAAGGGCTCATTCTGAAGCATTTGAGAAAAACCTGATAAATCCTCCAACCAGCTGGAAAGTGTGAGTTAGATTGAAAAATTTGGGTTCTGAAAACCTGTAGGAATACATCTAGGACAGCTGTCATGTCTGCCTCAGACACACTTCTGATGGAGTTGATGAACAGTCCTACTTCTACCTTGTCCTGACTCAGCCCCTCATTCGGTCGCACTCTTTTGTCGTAGTCGGGGTCAATAGAGGGCACACAGGACACAAGTGACAGCCCAGTCACGTGACAGAACACGACGAGTAACGCGAGGAATTGATTGCGAAAATGGCTCATTTGGTAACGTAACTGAATCAATCAAATAAAAGTTTTCGTTTAAGCGTTGAGGGCAGCTGAAAACGTGTTCTTATATTATTCCTAATTGTTTCATCAAATTTGAAAACAACAAAAACAAAAAAATATATATGACATCTGTGAAGCCAAGTCAGCTTTTAACCACTTCGAAAAATTGATTTTCGGCAACCTAAAGACTTCAAAAAATAGAATTCCTTGATACTGGCTTTTTTCTGTTTTTTTTTTGTCGTTTTTTTTCCGCATAGCTTGCCACAAATATGTTCCCACATGCAATTTTGTCCTGTAACTTGCTTTTTCTGCATAATTATAAGTTGATTATACGCTCTGTATATCAGCCCAGCTCTGAATGTCAGGATTGGTTGATTTGATAGGTAGCTTTTTTAAATACAACTTTTTGATGAAACTAATAGTCTTTTGGAAGACAGTTAAATGAATTCATCCGTCGATCCGTCGATACCTCTTCTGAAACAAACTTCTAAAAATACCAAAACAATCATAAGAAAAACAATTAGCAATCTTCAAGTATTCACTATCAATCCAACTTTAATTAGCCGCTGCAAAAAACTCTGAGATAAACCAAAAGTTTGAAAAAAGTCTTCTCCACTTTTTTCAATATATTTATAAAGAATGTTTTTCCCGTGATGGGAAAGAATAGTAAAATTGTACAATTTGCGCCAAGGGAACAAATAAAAGCATTAAAATTTCAGAATAAACTAAGCAGCATTGGTTTTTTCGATAGACATCCCTAGTGAAATGCAAATTTCACCAGTATTCTCGAAAAGCAATATATCTTGCAATAAACCGTGCAAATGAATAACTTGTTCTTGCTTTTATCTTGTAAAATTTTTCCAAGACACGCATTCATTTTGAAAGATTTTTACAGTATTTGCAATCAATTTTTAAGAAATAAGCAAGACTTTCCATCTAAAACAATTTGAAATTTTTTTTTACTGGTGATCTTAAGTACGTTTAGAGCTTTCTAAAATTTCTGCTTGTTTCTAGCAGATACACAACAAAGAGACAAGGGAGAGATTGCAAAAATTTGTTTGCCCTAGGGCAAAATAAATTTAAGAAACTTGCAAAACTGCACGCAAAAACAATGTTCCTAAAATTATATACAATTGTTTTAGCCTAATTGTTGTGATGAACTTATTAAATAGTTTCAGACGAAATGAACTAAGATTAGTACGATTTGCTTCGCGTTCTCTTACGACATCTCATCGCTGTATTCACATGGCAGAAATGGCATTATTGCGTGCACACCTAGAGAATGCCAATTTATCAAACCCAGAAGAAGTGAAAGGATTATTCGAAAGCTTTATTCACCGAACGGAGACATTGGACAATACTATCGAGCATCTCAAGTATGAAAATTCTCAACTGCGCAAGGACAATGTAATTATTCAAAACCGTGTACTTTGCTCTGAACGATATTTATCACGATCATGTTTGACATTTCTTGGCGTGAAATTCGGCGTGGATCCGATGGTACCAGTACTTGATATTATGAATCGTGTTCTAGGAGCTAAAGTGTCACCCGAAGATTTGGCTGCATGTCACTATTTACCGGGTAATGCAGAGAAAAAACCGATTATTGTTAAATTTATTTACAATGGGCAGCGTGACAATGTATGGCGAAACAGATTTACGTTAACTGACAATGAATCGACGAAGAATATTTTCATCGTTGAGAGGCTTCCAGAAATTGACCGAGATACAGTGAATTATGCAAAAGAGAAAGGTTTGAAATTTAAAACAAACAATTGTCAACCACTTCTCAGAATAAATAATAAATGGGTTCCAGTTAACAGTCGCGGTGAGATTGACAAAGTTGCCAGCGGATTTTCGGAAGAATTAGATGGTAACAAAATGGATACAGGAATTCAGGGAAATACACAGATAATCGACGAGTCTTCTTATTCCAGAAATGAGTTTTTCCAAATGAAACATGGTACTGCGAAAAACAAATATGCAATGTATGGAAAACCTAGAGGGGAGAAGAGGCAACGAGAGAACGTTGATATGGAAGATAAACTGGACAAATTGTGTGGTCTAATTGAAAATGTAACCGCAGTGGTAAGCTCACCACCTGGAAAAATGGCAAAAGCGCCGGTCAATGTGATAGAGCAGGAGGACGCGGGTGAGATCGAACCTACTGATACTTAGCATTTTTAAAAACCTAATCGATGACTTTGCCAGCTGATAAAACACTTCTTTTTCTAAATATAAGATCCTTGCGATGCAATTTTGACAATTTAGTGGGATTTATTGAAACTTATAACGAAAACCTATCGATTATCTGCCTTTCGGAAACTTGGTTAACTGAAACAGACCCATTGGCAATGTACAATATTCCGGGATTTCAACCGATAGTTTTTAGATGTAGAACCAATAAAAGGGGAGGGGGTGTTGCATTTTATGTTAAGACTGGCATTGACTTTATTATAAATGAAAATATTGTTTGCGAAAATGGGATTGAGGCATTGTGTATTAGACTTAAAAATGGATCTCTATCTTCAACAAACATTTGCGTATTTTATCGTCCGCCCAATATAAATATCGATCACTTTTATAGTTTTCTGGAACGCAACTTAGAAACGATGTTAAATTCAAAAACAATGTTCGTTGGGGATTCTAATATTGATACACTGGTTGAAAATAGTTGCTCAAAAGGGTTGAAAAATTTAAGTAAAAGTTACAATTTTGTTATAAATAACGCCAACGAAGCAATGCGCGTTACTAACCGTAGTAGTACTTGCATTGATCATATAATTTCAAATTTTCCTGTTGCAACACATAATGTAATTTCTGGTATTAGTGATCACAATATTATCTTCGCCGATATTAACCTGGTGTCAAACATAGATGATAACTTGACTTTTCGTAATCTGTCTTTTCTAAAAAAATCAACCGAAAAAATATTGTTTTTTAGCAGATGTGAACTACCTGTTAAAAAATGTACCGGAAGGAACATGTGATGAAAAAGTTGAGTTTCTGATTAAAACAATTATCGATTGCCTAGATGTATTCGCTCCATTAAAAGTATATGGTAAAAAACGAAAAGTGAAATCACAATGGATAACTCCAGAAATTAGAAAACTAATTTTTAAACGAGATAGACTTCTTCGCCAACTACAGGCCTGCTGGTCGACTGAAACGCATGTCAATTATAAAATCATTCGCAATAAAGTAAACGCCTTGCTGCGATTAGAGAAACGGAACTTTTATACTAAAAAAGTGGAAAAGGTGACTAACAGTAAAGATTTATTTAAGATTTTTAAAAATGTAGGAATAGGAAAGACCGGGAATAACACAACGACACATATTGATGCGGATAAATTGAATACTTTTTTCTGTAACATTGGGTCGAAAATTGCATCGCAAATACCTTGCTCATCAGTACCGATATGTAGATCGCCAAAACAAGTGCAATCAATGGTAATGTTTGAAACTAACCACAGAGAAGTTCTAGATGTTATCAATAGCCTTAAAAGTAAGTTCTCATATGGACCTGATGATATTTGCAATGAAATCATCAGGCAGTTAGGAGTGGTAATTGCACCACTAATATCCGATATTTTTAACGAATGCATTCACCTTGATGCTTTCCCAGACTTACTGAAAATTGCCAAAGTGGTCCCTAGGTTCAAAGATGGAGATAAAACAGATCCTGGTAATTACAGACCAATTTCGCTGTTGTCTTGCCTGAGCAAAGTCGTTGAGAAACTTATACATTCGAGGTTCATAAATTTTTTTGAGAAATTTTCTATTTTAAACATGAACCAATATGGTTTTCGATCTAAGCGATCTACGATTCAGGCTGTTGCGAGGCTGACCGAATTTGTAAGAGATGCTACTAATAAAAGAGCGGATGCAATTGCTTTGTTTTTGGATCTCAAGAAAGCTTTTGTCACGATTGATCACAAAATTCTGATGCAAAAATTGGATCATTATGGGATCAGGGGTAAAAGTAACAAGTTGATTAGAGCCTACTTGACTAATAGAAAGCAGTATGTTGAAATTGTAAATAATAGATCAACGCTTGAAAATGTTTCAACGGGAGTTCCACAAGGATCTGTTCTAGGTCCGCTTCTGTTTTTGATTTACATAAATGATTTACCTGATAGCACTAGTTTAGATACTACACTTTTTGCAGATGATACATCCATTATGACTTCTGGTAAGAATTCTGGAAAGAAATTAAGAACCGAATTTGACATAGTTTACAATTACTTATGTTGCAATAAACTTTCACTGAATACTGATAAAACTGTTCTGCTCAATTTCAGCAAGAAAAATGGAGAAACTGGTCTTGATATAAAAGGTGAATGCATAAAAATGGTTGATTGCACGAAGTATTTGGGTATCTACATTGATTCAAAGTTAGACTTCAAGATGCATATTGAACATGTTATTAAGAAATTGTCTAAACTGTGTGGAGTAATATATCGTTCCAGAAAATTATTTAATATTCCAATGCTTCTTCTGATATACAGATCCTACATCAAACCTGTTCTTCAATATGGCGTGTTGGTTTATGGCTGTGCAAACTTAACAGATCTAAATAAAATTTTAGTAATACAGAAGAGAATAATACGTGCTATTTTTAGAATTGATTATAGAGAGAGCACAGTTGAAAAGTACAGACTGCATAAAATTGAAACGGTGTTTGATCTTCACGTTTACGAACTGTTTAAAGATATTTGCTACAATAATGTTTGTGATAGTACCACGACTAATAACGTGGCGTACTTCACTAGGAGAGTTGCTTCTGGAAAAGTTAATAGTAAAATACAAAGAACGAAATGTTTTCAAAATTCCATAAATGTTAGAAGAACCATTATTCATAATTATATAACTGCATCTGGTTTATTGAATGAAGATGTGACAAGTTTGCAGAGACATCAACTCAAGATTTTTATACACGATGTTTTTGATAATTATCTGCTTGATAATAAGGAAGTTCATAAACAGCTGTATTGTCATTGATATTTGAGTTTAAGGTTGTCTACTAGATAAGCCGTAGGCTTTTTAGACAATCCTTGTTGATGATTGTAAATATACATA